ACTTATCAGAGATAGGAGTTACAAGTCTGTTACTATTACCAGCTGGTATCACAATGTTCCAGTGGAGAAGAACTGATCCAAAGATCCTTAAATACACAAAGTGTTCATCAGTCAGTTTCAGGATCCACTGGATGTGGTTTGGCTCCACTCTGCAAATCAGGAGCTGCAATAATGGGATTAACGCCTTCTTTAGTCCGCTTTAATCGAACTCTAGTCCATTTGCCTAGAAAGTCTGGTTCGTTTAGGGAGGTGTGAATGCACAATCGAACTCTGATGTGGACCAAAAAAGTGAACTCTGGTCCGCCTAAATACGTAGGTCGCGGTTTGTTTGAAGTGAACTCGAATGCGGTTCGAATGCATTGTGAATACAAGCGGACCGGAGACCGCTCAAAAAGCAGGAAGTGGACTACAGCGCAGGGCAATCTGTGTAAATACAAACAAAACAAACGCACATTTCTCATACCTCATATGGAGCCGTCTTAGCAGCCTTGTGTGAAAAACAACATTCGCCATGGTCTTCTCCCTCATCTTCTGCTCATGCTGAGTCCATAGTTGAAAAATTACAAAACAGAAATCCTAAAACTGCTAAAATTTGATGCCACTCCAGTTTTGTTTTTATTTCCAGAAGAAGAAGTGTCTTCTTCAGAGGTTTTTGTGTTGCTTCCTTCAGTAGTTTTTGGTGTAGCGCCACCATAGGTGGTGGTGGTGGTGGGGAACAGGTTGGCTCGACTGACTCAATGCAGTGTGAATGCAAACCGCACCAGCTGAAAATGTAAACAAATGTTCCAAATTTTGGTCCCCAATCGAACCGAGTCTACTGGACTATCGGGTGTGAAAACGACCTAATGGTACAGAAAACCCTGGAATCCCACATGACTATTCTGAAAGGTAATTTGTAGCATTTGTAGGTGAAGCTGGACCATGAAAAAAATCTACTAAATAAAAGTTCTACTTTCCAGGTTTTACTTTTATCATGTACAATATCCCTGCAACTTGAGAATAAGGCCCTGCGGCTCATGAGAAAACTGAAAAACCTTGCAAACCTTTCAAGACATTTCGGAAACTCCCTCGAAAATGCTGTTGCACAATTTGTTCCCAACAGTCTCAGTCCAGACAGGCACTGGCTTTAGACACTCAGACCTTGCTGTCAAATGGAGAGTTGGGAGGAAGTGGACCATGAGTTATGGATTACTACATAGCTTAAGGGTCAGTCAAGGTTGCCAGCCAGTATTCCACATCTAAGCTATTGATTTAGACATGTTAAAGTCAAAGAAGAAAAATTTCATGTGAACTGTTTGTAATAAAACCTGAAAGGGCCACATAGTTTCCAAATTCTTTTGGTCTCATAGGATGAGGTGTGGCACTGATATTCCACCGTGCACGTGTGCTGCTTGTTTTCAGAGTGTGCCCTGTAATAAAGTGGGAGTGAGTCTTTGATTGGGATTTTGTTTTTTCATGAATGAGAGCAGGAGACATCCTGTCTCTGTTGGATACAGACTCCAGTGCCAGTTTGAGTTGTGTGACTCATCTCAAATCCTGATGGGGGTAACGTGGAGACAAAAGAGTTGGCTTTGTGAGGAGATTGCCAATTGTTGGTCTTTATGCAAACGACAAATTGGCAAAACTCTGAAAAACTGAATGGAGCTGGATTGTTATTTAATGCTAAAACATACCAGATCACACACTGACGCACATGCAAGAAAACGCTTCCAGGAAAAAAAGCAACTGAGTAATTGTTACTTGAAATAAATGAATACACATATGTTTCTACATTTAATACGCTGTTTATTTTAAAGTGCCTCGTTGATCCCAAAGCACATAGATATGTTTCCTGTGCTTTGATGTAAACGAGATGCATTCATCTGTGACACAGACGGCTTGAGGACAACAAAGGGAAACAAGAGTTTTGCTGGGAAGCTGCAGGAAGCTCTGTCGTCACAAAGTCAGGAAGTCACTGGAGGGTCTGAGCCTGGGGAACAGAACGACTGAAGACCTTTTTACTGGGTGTTTAGAAGATTGCTGTGGCTTACAGAACAATTAGAATTCAACGCGAGTGTCTGACTGTGCCTACAGCTGTCATCTCTACCAGCTTTATGGGCGCTCTGGTGTGAGTGAAGTGCATTCTTCGCAGCAGGATGTGATTAAAGCACAGCAGCGCAGAGTACACCCGGAGTTTAATTCAGGGCTACTGGTGCCCTCGTCCTGCACGCTCCTCATTCTGACAGCAGCACATAAAACAGAAGTACTCAGTTGGCCACAGATTACTCTTTGAATCTAAATGCCACAGTACGATCTCGTTAAAAAAAAAGCACAGAAGACAAGCCGAGAAGTCATTTTATGCAATTTAAGTCAGACAGATTTGCAACTGGTTGTTACAGCCATCTGGGCAGCAGCGTTCTTGGCTTTTCTTTTTTTGTTTTTTATTTAAACACGTGGCCCATTACTGCTGGAGGTAGAGCTTAAAGAGCCATGTCGTTTCACATCCTGTTCATCCTCACTGTTGATTGAGGGCGACGAGAAGAGGAGGCTGGTTGTGCCTTCAGAGTGGGTGTCTTTCAAGAAAACGTGATAGCGTTTGCTATGAGAGGGGTTGTGAGTCACTGGCTCCGGCTCAAGGCTCTCTGTCAGGCCCCCGACAGAAAGAGGGCTTCTACTTATCCTGAAAAGTCAGGTCTTGTGAGTCATAAATACCATCACTGTGCCTCAGATATATTTCTAAAAATGCTCTTACAATAACAGACAGATTTGTTTGTGGAATAAAAAAAAATGCTGGATGATCCACACTGTCAGAAATACAGTATTCACATTTAATTACCTTTTACTGAATCTGTTCCTAACTTATCACGTTATCAATTACTGAAATGTTTCATGTTATGAAAAGGTTACAAGAAAGGAAGATTTTCCTGGTATAATAACACTCTGAGAAAAGATCAACCGTCCCTTTCTTATGAATTACACTTGACTCTACTTTTCCAAGGCATCTTTATTTTAATAAATACTGTCAGTGAATGACATGTAGCCCTAAACATATCTTCTATCTAAACTGGCTTGTATGGTTCAAAAGACATATAATTGGCACACAAAGATCCTGAAATTTGTGACACAAACTTTGTGTCATACTTGTTATTTATTGTGCAATGGTAAAAACACCTAGGTTTCAATATCCCGATAACTGTAGATGTAATTTCTATTAATAAAATATCGACGCACCAGAAAGGAGTTTCTTGTTTCTTTCCTTTACTCTACTGAACTCACACTTTATTTTAAGTAACAAACATTATCAAAGTGTGTGTTGCTCAATCTGAGCAGTGTCAAACAAAAGTGCATGTGTGGAGGTGACCCTGCTTAGGATTTATGATTTCCAGCAGAGTTTATAAAAACTACAGACAAAGTGTAGTAATTTGAAACAAGTGTACCACTGAATTGTAGAATAAATTTGTCCCAGAACACATTTAAGATCATGCCATGATCTTTTTCTATCAGCTAATTGCAGCTCTGAGTCCATTTGAAGCCATAATTACAAAAATGGTACATTTTCATGCATTTACAATATATGAACATATTTCTCATAATGCAAACTTATGATCTTACTTCATTTTTTTATGCTTTGAGACAAACCAAGATAGAAATTTAACTGAGTATTTTTATTTATTTATTTGATATGATGTAGCCTACAAATATAGAGATGAACTTTCTTTTTATACTACAGTACTTGATATTTGATTCCTGGATGCTGGTTAGGTCTTAGGATAGCTATTTGATACCCACGTTTTATAATTAGTGCTTAATATTTAGTTTTGTCACAAATGGATATGTCCATGACTATATACAAACATGATATTTCAAGATTACTGTATTGTAAATACTCTACCATTCTCAATGTTCCAATACATACTGAACATTATTATTGATATTGTTTATCTTATTTCTTTATATATTGCTTTTAACATTTTAGGAACTTTTTGTGTGAATCTTTTTATCTGTTGCTGCTGTTACACTTGAATTTCCCATCTGTGGGACAATAAAGGCTGTTTCTACTCTATTCTATTCATATTAAAATGAACAATTATTTCTGTAATGATTTCAGGTTTACAGATGAAAAGTGTACTCCAGTAGTCAATTATCAACATTGGCCAAGGAGTTAGATACATAGTTTGGCGGCCAAACTTTTTGGCCAAACTTTGGCCAAAAATAGTACAAATTGAGGTCAAAGTGAGTACAAAGCAGGCTAAGGTAAGTAGAAAACATGCTAGAGGATTTGCTCATGGGATTTTTTTTTTGTACAAATGAGCTAAAGAAAGTATGACCTGTGGCAGGCAGCTTCTTTTTTTCTATGTGAATGGCTACAAAGTGACCAAAATGCAAAAAGTATGTTGTGATAAGAGCACAACTCAACCCAGAGCTGACAAGTTCTCATACTGAACACAGGGAGTCTTCATTTTGTTTTCTGTTCATCTTTCTATTTAACATCCATTTGAAGCTTTAACTTTTTCTGAGTATTTATTATTTGACTTTTACATAAAACTTTAACTAACAAAAGTATCAACTTATTTACAAAACTTATATAATTCTGAACCCAGAGAAGGACTGCCAAGACTAGATAAGACCAAATAAATGTATTCTGGTGAGGTGTCCTTGCGTCCCCTCAGTTCGAGCTGAATCTGTACCTGGTTCTCTCGGCTTACCGACATGCTTCAGGTTCAGGCATCAGCATCCAGATGATAACTGGGGAATGGATGAATGCCTGTGGACTGACCAGGACCAGCTCTGCCTTGACTTTTCGCCCAGCTGCTGGAATGGAAACTGATCCTCGTGTCCACGTGTTTGTGTCATTTCCATCTCATTTGCATATGTAAACCGGCCTCGCCTATGGATCGACGGCTGCACGGAGCGCGGCCGCCGATTGGTCCTCTGAGAGCCAATGGGAGAGCGGGGGCCGGCTGGCCCCGCCCCCCTCAGACACGTTGCCTTGGGAGAAGCGACACGGGCAGAGCACTGGCTGTGGCCGCTGCCTCAGTGATCACACGTCGCACGTCTCGCACATCAGCTGCTCTCTGGACCGACAGTCCTGCCGGATTCACCGCCGAACAAAGGAGGAGGAAAGACCAGCCGCCGCATCCTGTGGGACGGTAGGAGACCTCCACCATCACCCCAATACACCGACAAACAGGAGCGGCTCGGTCAGGAAAGACGTGTGCTGCTAGCTTAAAACTGATGAAACGCTAATTAAAAAAAAAAAGAGCGCCCAGAGGAATTTTAGTCATAATAATGAAAATTAGAAATTACTTACCTGGGAATATTTCAGCTGTTCGTATTTTAGCTTCTGGTCTTGTTTAATCTAAGTGAGTGCAGCTAAATTGACTAAAACAATGAGGAAGTCCATTGTGTGTTTTACTACTCGATGTGATCGGCGGACACTTATCCTTTCTGTCTTACTATAAGTCTGATGTTAGACCTCCTGATGGCACAAACACTCTCATACTGCTGTTGTTAAATGGTGGACATCAACATTCAGGTCCCCCACCTACAGTAAAAAACAAAAAGGTGTTCATACCTGGTGTTTTATTTAGTGTACACTGTAAAAAATACACTCTAAGATGCTATAATATCATGGGATTTAATTTTTATTCAGAATAGAGGGCTCCAAGGTGTTTAGGTGTAGTAATAAAAAGAAACCCCAGGTCCAGTTGATCTTTGAACAAGCCTGACATGCTTTAAAAAAATAAGATAAATTAGGGTTAAAATAAGCCATGGCACTGATGTTACATCATTTTTAGCTACGTTTAACGTAGCATTCAGCACGTAACGTTTAAACTTTCAGCTGACTAAAGAGATCCACATTGGAAACATTTTAGATGGAGACGCTCGTCTCATTTTTGATTACACTCAAAGGAGTGAAGTGCTATTCAGACTGCAAACACCTTTTTCATTCTTTTGCTAATCAAGTTTATAATCTGTTAATTTTATAGCAAAAGAGCCGGATGTTAATATGTAAACAAACACCGGTGAAAATATAAATCAACATCGTTCAGGCCTGGATTAGGTCCTGTAAATTAATAAACCCTCTTCTCCACCCGCCTCGTTGACAACAACCTTAGAAATTGGTCCTCATGAAACAAAGAAGCAGCCAGCCATCAGATTTCACAGGAAACCAGAGACGAGCCAGACGTTCAACCATTCAAAACACTAAAAATAATCCCTGTGCTGAAAATGCAGCTCTCACTTCCTTCGTGCGCTAATCGCCAAGGAAGCACGTTGAAGCTCCGGCAAGCAATTAAGGATCCGTGAAGAGCATTTGATTTTGTTTTTTCTTCTTTTATATTCATGAGGCGTTCCTCGCTCGTGAACAAGCGGTTCTAGTTTTTATTGTTCTTTCACTGCCCCTCAAGTGCCATCTTTGTCGAGCAGGTCAGCAGACCCCTGCCTCCTTCGAATAAACAAGCTAACGGTGTCTGAATGGATGAGGCAGCAGCTGGAAGGCCCAGCTTGAAAAAATAAACGAGGGAAAAATCCTCACCCCTTAAAGCCGTAAGATTCTGTAAAACTGAGGGATTCGTTTGAGTGCTGACGAGAATTTGAGCACGTGATGCTTTGAGGTGTGGAGTATCGGGTGGTGTTTGCTTTTGATGGTGGTTAGCCTGTGTTTACTGGCTCAGGTGTTGCAGCTGCAAAACAAACAGGTCGTTGTGGTCTCACTGCTACCATCTGCTCGGCTCGCTCTGTCGTCTCCATCTTTATTCATGTGTGCCTGTTTTTCTAAGTTATTATTCTAATTCAGTCACACTCACATCGCTTGGTCAAGGACACTCCAGTAGTTATTGTGACTCGATTTAGTTTTGGTCAGTTTGTCTGCATTCATAGCTGTCTTTCTGGCTCTTGTGTTTTTTTGTATTGTTACACTAAAGTAAATTTCTCTCTGTCAGGTCAGTGATGGTCAATGCTGGTTAGAGCCTGCAGCTGAGGATGTCTGCCACAGATTCGGACAACTCCATTGATTGGCTGGCTAGTGACAATGAGGAAAACGACAGCGAACAAGAGCCCGACTGTGCTTTGAAGGACGCTCATGCAGAGGCTGCTCCATCCCCCAGCTTCCCTCCCTACCCGGGCCCGTCTAACTGCAGCAGGCCGAACGAGGGCAGCAGTAAGTGGAGCGAGGTCTGCAGCCGGGGATCTTCTTGCTGCGTGGAGAAAATAGAGAGCAACGCTGCCATTGGACTATATAAAACTCAACTTGGAGAAAAGGTGACTGGCAAAAGCACTCAGCCGGTGAAGAGACCTCACAGCTCCACGGAAGAGCAGAGCAAAGGACGGCAGCTCATTTTATCTGAGAAAGATCACATTTTTAGAAGCAAGGTGAGCATCCATTTGACTAATGTTTGCGTCTCGCAGGAGGTAGCTGACAGTGTCAGCAAAACTAGGATGTGGCCTCTCACCCAGATTGACTCCCCTGCTGATTTTACAGACATTTCCAGTAAAGATGACCCTCCCCTGAAGTTGCTGGAGGAGTGTTTGTCATGCTTTTCTGAGGAAACTGTCATTTTACACTATGTCAAGGGCTGCTAGGCAGTTAGCTGGTAATTTTAAGTCAATACTGGAAGCACAAGCTGTTTAAGTTGCTATAATATGGGCTTTACAATAAGTGTTTGAGCATGTGATGTCACCTGCCTACAAATCAATCTATTATCATTCACAGTGCATGGAGCTACAGTGCTACATTCATCCGCTGTCATCAATCTTGAATGGCCTTCGTTCAGGGAGATACAAAGAAAGTAAGTCAATCGTTTCCTTTGCGCTCTGAATTTTTGTCATTTTTTTTTTCAAAGTAAAAACGCCCGTAACGAGAACGAATATCTCGCTTTCTGGTTTAAGCGTTCACTTTTTTCCCAATTTGTAAAGTATGATCACAAAGTTCTTGTAATGCGTTAGTTCCAGCTGCGAGTCAGTTTGTGTACAAGCGTCATGTTTCTTTAAAGGAATATTAGAGGATTCTACATCGCTCCTTGTCTCTGTATTCTTAAAAAAAAAAAAAAAAAAAGAAGAGCATACCATATACATTTACAAAATTGTTTTACTGCAGGACCAACCACAAATATTCTCCTTCAGTGGAGGTGTTTTATAACAGAGATCATTTTGGCAAGCAACCACAATATTTTATGTAATACAGAAAGTCCTAAGTCAGGTCAGTTTACCCTAACAAGTGCAGGACGCTTCACACTTTACACTTCCTTATAAACTTGGCAGAGGTGAGTGGGAACATAATGTGCCACACACTGCAGAGAAAAGCAGCTGCTGTTTGTGTTTTTGTTAGTTAGGCATCTTATGTGTTTTTTGAAGATATAACCATGTCCAGACGAGCTCTGAAACTGCTTAGTTTGGGATCTTGGTCAAACCCAAACCAGCACTTCCCACTCACAGAAGCAGGGAGTCTGTTCCTCCGTACAAACATTTTGCACAACCCATCTGCCTCAGCCCTGCTGTCGACACACTTCAGTCCTGCAGCTTTCGTCTTCTTTTCCAGGACTCAGCAGTTTCCAGGAGAGCGTGGCCATGGACAGGATTCAGAGGATCATGGGAGTCCTGCAGAACCCTTTCATGGGGTAAGTGTGAGCCACATACTCTTTTATATGAATGGATCTCCGGCAAAAACTTTACCACCGGCCTCAAAACGCAGTTAGCTTTCGAAGTGCTCTCCATTATGCCTCGGACACGTTGCTCACAGCAGGTTTTTGCTACCCCCACACATTCAGGATAAATTTCCTGCAGAGATGGCTGAGTCGCACTTTAGCTGGGCATCTCATTAAAAATGTATTGCGCTTCATTGTGGGAGAAGCACGCTTGATTAGCTCTCCACTGGCCGGATGGTGCAAGGGAGTATGATACTCCCCATTTAGAGAAAGTCCTGACCATGCAATAGTATTAAAACTTGCGATGTTTCACTGTTTAAAATCAACAATCTCTGTTAGTTTCAAACAGCTTATTTGGCCTGTAGTTATTAATAATATTCATGCAGATTTATCTTGCACATGCTCTTAAAGCAATTCAATATCTTTATGGAAAAGTTATGAACAAGTATTATTTAATCTGTTGTAGATAATCTGGCTCTTTGAACAAACTCAGTGTGGAGAAATTAATTCTGACTGGACTGACAAGCTAACAGCAAAGTGCTGTTCCATTGCACAGTTGTTCCTATAGAGAATGATGTAACAATCCTTCAGAAAGTGCTACAGCTAGCTGCTGCTGCTTTTTGTGCTCGCAAACAACCTCATAATTGTATGTAACATTTACCTCGCCAATCTGGTCAGAATTCAACTATATTTTTCCAAACTGAGGATGCTCAAAGAGCTATCTACAACAGGTAAGATAATAATTGTAACCTTTCTGCAGAGCCCTGCTCTAAACATCTGGATTGTAATCTTTAAAGAAGCAAACCTCAGTAACATGATATTCCTAACGTGTGGATGTTTCACAGGATAAAATCAAAATCGAACATTCTCAGCCAACTTATCTGGATTGTATACTCTTAATAAAAACACAATTATTATAATTCAGTTGTATAATTTGGGGCGGTTGTAGCTGAGTGATTAGAGCAGTCGTCCTCCAAATGCGAGAGCTGGGGGTTCGATTCCACCAGCAGTCACATGCTGAAGTGTCCCTGGGCAAGACACTGAACCCCTCGTTGCCTCTGATGTGTGTCCCATCGGTGTATGAATGTGATAAAGCTCTGATTATTCTAGTAGAGTGATATATGAATGGGTAAATGAGGACACAGATTGTAGTGTAAGGAGCTTTGAGTATCTTGAAAAGATAGAAAGGTGTTTATATAAGTACACTCCATAATTCCTGCAAATTCACATTGATTTTAGTGCTAATGTTCAAACCTTTTTTTTTTTTAATGGGGGTTAATGTCGGTCTTTCTGGGCTTGAAGAAATGCAGCTGAGTTCGGCGCTGTAATTGGAGACCTCTCCCACCAGCTGCTGCCTTCGTACGAGACAAAGAGTGGGTGTGGCGGCCTCCCATTAACAGCCAGGGCCGAGCCTGGAAGGTGGACTAAACCCCTCCCTCCGTCCTCCCCTCTTTCTGCTCTGTGTCGCCAGCTGGCAGCCCCCCTCCGGCAACACAATGGCAGCTCGGATCAAAGTGACTTTTTTAGCAGTCACCGTTGCAGATAATCTCTCGCATGAATTTTACATGCTCTATGAAATATAGCGGGAAGGTCCCGATCATATGGCGCAGGCTAATCCCCACACACCACCGTCTGGTTTCGACGGAGGACTCCTGGATATAGTTTCTTTCCACAGTGACGCTGCTTGACGCCGCTGTGGCTTTGGTGTTTATATTTAGACACGAGCGAAGCTGTTGTACGTCAAGCCACGTGCGAGCTCCAAACATGTGAGAAATGTGCTCGGCGCCGTTTCCGCACGCACGCACGCACGGAGCGCAGCCTTTGCTGCCTGAGTGTTCGCTCGCTCTTCAAGAGAAATGTTTTCAGGCTGCATTTGATGGAGAGAGACCATTTCTGTGAAGTGGCTGGCAACATTACGGTTCACGCATGACTGCACAAGTAAATATTCTTTCTTTCTTTCTTTCTTTGGCTCGCAGGGAGAAATACGTTGATATCATTCTTAAAATGGAGGAGATGTTAAAGAGCTGGTTCCCTCACATAAAACTCCAAGACCAACTCACAGCTACCCAAACAGACGGAGCTGTTTCAAGCAAGAGGTTTAAGGTAAATACGTTTTTAAAAAGGGAAAGAAAACCTGTTGTTTTAAAGCTCTTCCAGCAGATTTGTGCCGCTGCCAAGAACATAAAGTGACAAGTCGGTGATGGAGCGACAGAAATACCCTTTGTCATTTAATCACAGGTCTGAGACAAGAAAAGGAAGATTAAAAGCTATTTTTAAAGTCTCAGGTTTAGAACAATGACTGTAGGTAATTTGGGTGCTGTTCTTCTCGTGGGCTGTGAAAGGTCGATAACCAGGAACATTTATTGTGTTTAACTGACGAGGATTAATTTCACACTAATCACCTAAACAGGACTGTTTGTTTGTTTTTAATCATCTTGTTCTTATCCTGGTAACCTCACTGTTCCATCATTTTTCTCTTAACAAACAACTGAAATGTTAATCATAAGGTGGAGGAGGTAATAAAGTAATTACCGTAATCCTCTGGCTACAGAACGCACCGGTCTGTAAGCTGCACATACTAAATATAAGATAAATCATAATTTTGTACATGAATAAGAAAGTTGCGTCATAAGAAATTCTCTGTTCGTTTTCCATTATCACCGAACAAATGAACAGATCTGTGCATGAAGCGTAAAATACGGGAACGATCTGAAGAAGTTTCTTGAGAGTATCTCATTGGTCATTCAAGTTAGACTTCTGGTCACATGATGACAGAGTGGGTGGAGTTATGGTAGGAATTGAAACGGTGATTAAGAGGTTTGGTACATGTGATTACCTGAGGGCATCTCTGTGTCACAAACACCTGCCCCCAAGAGGGCGGGGTGCTGGGAGCCACAAGCACCCAGCTCTGTCAAAGCAAAACGTTAGTGAGTGGCAGGAAGTTACTGAGACTGCAGAATGTCTTTCAAAATAAAATATAAAAATATAACTTTTGAAAATTATGAAAAAAATGCATAAATAATACACTCCTGCATATAAACAGCAGGTGCAAAGTGTGAGAAAAAAGGTGCAGCTTATACACTAGCAATTATGGTACACATTTGGGGAACAATTTGAGCCATTTTGGCTCTTTGTCTTGCCTGACGTTTTAGAGTTTGTGGCTAAAAATTTTGCCTTAAAAGCACAAAAATGCTAACGGAGTTAGCGACAGGTTTAGAGTCACTGTGGAGCAATTATCAGCTTTGAAGTAAGAAACCTCCTTCGTGTGAATGAATACAAAACAAAGCTATTTTCACAACAAGCATTATTCTAAAGTTAGGAACTAATGTTGCTTTTTGTTTAGTCGTGAGCAGAGAAGTAAAGTAAGAGTTTTCATCTGATAAAATGTGCAATTGTTGCATTTTAATACAATAAATGCATTAAGGTTATAGCTCCCACGGACTGTTTTAGTTCAGCTGTGACTTTATTCACACTTCGGTAGGTTAATGTTTTAGTCATGAAGTCTAACTGAACTGTTTGTTTTTTAAGTCAAAGGGCACAATGTTTAGATTTAAAAAAGCTAAAACGCTGTAAACTAAAACATGTAAGCTTGTTTTATGACTCGTGAGAAGCAGATTGTTTTATGAGCTTCAAGAAAATTAAAAAATACAGTTACATTTACGCTGCTGTAGGGCTGGACGATATGGGCAAATCTTTTATCACGATATATTTCTTAACTTCGGTCGATACCGATATAATTTGATATCGATATAAAAAATATATCAGAAAAACTGTGCAAACTACAAATAAATTACTGTTCACCTTTTATTTGTATTTAGCCTTAAAAAATTGAAATCACTGTCGAATAAACATAAAGCTCTCAACTTTGTCAATATTAATAGTTTGAACTTTAAACACCACAACAGAACCTATGCAGCAGACGTTTGCTGCATGTGCTTCTCTTTTGATACAGCTGGGGGGTTGTTTCAGGGATACGTTGGCTCAAACTTTCATTGTGCTTCTTCTTCTGACTCACAGCGTTTTCTATCAAGTGGAACAAGTTAGATGTTCACACCGCTAGTTGGAATGACTCTCCGTCACATTTTGCAGCACACCGACTGAAACCTGCAGTTTATCGGATCTTAGATCACCAAACCACTTCCACACCGAATAATTAGTCTTTCCTCTTTTATCAGTTATGTCATCTGCTTTCTGTTCGCTTGTGAAACCTTGTTCAGTCACTTTCTGACGGTCATGGGCACTCATTTTGAAGTAAAAACTTTACACGCGTTGTAGGTTAGCCTATCCTAGCCTGCTACCACTAACGCCTTCTGGACTCGAGCTCTGGGTAACATCTACGTCACCACGCACTTACATAGTTAGTTGTTGTGTCGCACCTTTTTCTGTTCGGGTTGAAACTGAAGCGGCCGCTTCAACCCGAACAGAAAAAGAACTGCGTCAGTGAAACGCTGTAATCATATTGAAATACCGAAAATGTATTTAAAACTCATGTAACTGTTATTGAATAAAAATATATTGATATATATCGATATCAAATTATTGTCCAGCCCTACGCTGGTATAAAGTGCAATAAAGAGAGATGTTTGAGCATTGTGCTCATGACCTTCATTTGAAGATATTAACTAACATTGCCTGCCATTTTAATTTGCAGTAGGCTTCAGTAAATTACTCTTGAGTCCTGGTAGGCAAAGCTCTGCTTCCTGTGCTCTACTGGTGAGTCAGTGTCTATTCCACTTATGATAAAATAGTGATTTTTTTTTTTCCTGGAAAAATTAATGTAGTATTCAACAATATCCTTTTTTCTTTTAAATGCTAAAAGGAACAAAACCGTCAGCAGAGATGATGCAAGTTGTTGTTAGCGCCTGAGAGCATCCAATCAGAGCTGACTAAATGCAAACATGCAGAATCAACCAGCATTTCATAGATTGACCTTGATTCTATTAGTCTCCCTGTTTATTATTCATAAATACAGTATTCTGTACAATAGATAAAATTGCTTGTACAGCAAAAATGATTAAAACATTTAAACCATTTAAAAAATACATATTTATTTAAGCATAATTTTGTATTCAGTTTTAAACCCACAGCCCTGAGCTGACTAACTGGGTCTTTTAATTGCAAATGGAACAAGTTTATCCAACATTCAGTCCAACAAAGATGTCTGCCTTGCTTGTGGGTGTTTATTAGCTTTATTTGGCTTTTATGAGAACATTCTAATTTTCACCTAGAGGGATCAAAGATGACTTTTTCTTTACAGTCTTGTTTACTGCCCGTGGCTTCTCTTACGGAGGCTCTGAAATGACCAGACAAGAAGGAAGCAAAAACCAATCCGGTGTACCTGTTTGCAAAATAGCTCTCGACCCTTTCCCCGTAGTGACGTGGGGACTGACGTCTTTGGGCCAGTTTAAACATAATAAGCTCGCCTTATTATCTGAGGAGATTGTGCATGTAATGCCCTTCCTTTATATCATTAGAGCTTATACAAGCAGACTGTGCCAGTTGGTTTGGGTAACTCCTGTTAACTATTGGCTTTAGTACTCGTGGAACTGAGAGGAAACAAGCAACTACTGGTAATAAAAGAGCATTTTAGCTGCTTTTTAAGTGTGTAAAACATTTGTTTGCTCGACATTATAGCAAAGGTGTGTCTCAGTTGAACTTTTACTTAATAAATTAACTTTAAAGGTCAAATCAGCTTCATTTCGCCGGGACGTCGCAGCGAAATGAAGCTGATTTGACGGTTGCTCCAAGCGAGCTGGACAAATGTGGCAGGCTATGGCAAGCCAATTGTGTCATTAATAGCCACTCTTACCTATTACATGACACAACGGCATGCCATACTACTCTAGTGCCATCTAGCGACTGAAAATGGTAGTGTTCAATATTTTCAATGTCAGAATGAATGAGAATGGTCATATCTCAGCACAAAAATTGGTTTATAAATATGGGAAAAAAACATAAATAAGTCGCTTCGGTTTATAAGTCGCAGGGCATGTATATTATGCAAAAAATTGTGACTTATAGGCTGAAAAATAAGGTATATAGAATGTCAGTGGAAACAAATCTGTTGCTATTTCAGTGTGTAATAAAACTGCAGAACGAGCTTTGACTGGCTGTCGAAGTTCTTCTGTTTCACACCTTCTGCCTTTTCAACAAGACAGTTGTTTATTGTTGTTTATTTGAGAAGCCATTGGTTCTTTTTTATAGGGGCCTATAGGAACCTTGAGATATTTTAATGCCATCGCTTAAGACGGCTCGCTGGGCTGCATCTAGTTTGTGAAACAATATTCTCAGGAGAGTCTCCAACATGTTTCAGAATGTTGGCAAGGTTTCCAAAATTTGTTCACATGGGTCGTTTAGGCCTGCGGTCTCCTCGCTTCAAATTTGACAATGTTTTGAAAAATTTGTGCAACTTAAGTTTTTCTCAAAATAATCCTTTAGTGTTGCGGGTGTCTCCAACCTGTCTTTTCACAACAACAAAAAACGTCCAAGACTGCAGCCCTGAATGCACAGGTCTAAAACCCAGGCTAACGATAAATAAAAACGACCCAAAAAACTGGTTTAAATCTGCATATTTTTATTTCTAATGTCTACTCCAGAAGAATAAATTAAACATGAAGGCAGCTGCTGATGTGGGTACAAAGCAGGTTGAAGCAGGTACGATACGAGTCGAGGTGGACAACTAAATAATGTGCAAGAACAAGAATATAGTTTTGCTGTAAACGCCCAAATAAATCATGAATTTCAAAAACGGTTTGTGCAAAGTGCAGCCACACAACTCGCTGGTCACTTGGTTGCAAACAGAGAATTCAGGGAAACTGCAACTGTTTCCAGTTTTGAGTCTCCAGCCATCGTAGCCGCAGTGGTACTGAACTTCAAGGGTGTTTGCGGTCATTCTTTAGTCTGAATAGTCCCTGACTGATAAAATGTTAAAAATCTAAAAGCAGACTGTTTTTATGTTTGTCCATCCAGGGGTTTCCAGTGGCCACGACTGCAGCAGTGAACCCCGTCACCATCGGGGAGCTTCCAGCTGGCACCAAAGCCCTGAGAGTCACAGACCTGACTCCTCCCGGAGCCTACTCCGCCAATAACCTGAAGTGGCTCCACACGTCACCCATCTGCTCCCCCACAGCAGAGGAGGCCCAGGCTGGTCCCAGGCACCTGCTGCTCCCCAGAGACAGAGACCTAACGCAGGACAATGCTGTGTCCTCCAGCACAGACAGCCACACTAAGTCGGACTCTGTGTCCAGAGGCCCTCCGCCAGGCAAAATCAACGCGCCCTGCCTGGAGAGGCTCCTGAAGTCCACAGACAGCATCATCACACGCAAGGGGACGGGGGGGTTGACCGGCAGCAGCTGGTGCTAGTCTACAAACAGCGCTGGGAGTCCGGCTGTAATCAGCGCCCAGCCTCGCCCTCGCCTTGCCCTGCTGGGAACCAGTCAGCTCGCTCAGTTCATTCCAGCCTTTCAGGAGAGACGGGAGCATTCAAAAGGGATCCTCTTCAGCGTGGAACGAGTTCGACGAAGCCCTCGGACACGACAAGCATCCGCCTTTTGTCTTTCTTTTCGTCGTCCTGTCCTTGTTTTGTGTTTGCGCTCTTGAGCGCGTGCGTGTTGGACGGATAGATTTCACACTTCCAGGTAACCAGAGCAAGTGAGGAACAGTTCCCGCCCACCTGTTAGGTTTAACAAAATCAGTTGTAAGCATTTACGAAACTGTCAGTTCACCCAGAAACAGAGGAGGGAACTTCACAGTTTGAGCGGGAAGGAAGCATTACTCAGACAGATCTACATATTATTGTGCTGAAAATGTGACGTCACTCCCCCTCCCCCAATAACCACTCTATTGATGTGACTGTTACTCATTTCTATTCTTTATTGATAAATCTTTGGTACAACTGTTCTACCTCATTTTGCACCACGTCATGGTTAGCAGAGAAGGAATGTGAACACTAGCAGGTCTGAGCGGATGAGCCAAACAGCCTCAGACAAACGGAGGATGCTCTCGTGGCCTGACCGGTGCCGTTGTAAAGAATGTCAGCTGCAGATTCGTTCGTGTTTTTCTGTCTGTGTTGGTTTTTTGAGTCTCCCAGTAGAAGGCAAACGGTGCCTGCAACCTCAAGCTGTGCCTGTAAGCCGCTTTAATGAACGAAGCGTGTAGAGTACCTGCTCCTCTGTGGGATGTACGAGTCAGGAAGTTTCACTCTCCTGCCGTGTTCCTGTAGTGACTAAATTATTCAGATTTGCCAACTTGTTTTGTTTTTTTTCCTGTGGTGGAGTAGAACGATTCTAACTTTTGTTTTGCCACAGAACTGGGCGGCGCGTTAGACCACCAGAAAGGGACGAGGTATATTTGTGCAAATCTTATGGAAACGTTGTCAATTCACCCTGAAAAGTGGCCTTTTACAGTGTGAAATTTTATACTTTCGAAATAAATGTGGTTATATTTGTTTGATGCAAACACTGTGTGAGACTTTTTTTTTGTGCATTTTCAGACACATCAGTACGTAGATTTGTCAGTGTTGATTATAAATGATTGTTTTTAGTTTTAAAGAAGGTTTCTACTTTTGTAAAAGTAATGCATGTAAAGATATGAAGCAGTCCTTTTTAAAAATATTTACCAAAGGCTTGAACAAGCTCGCCGTGTGTCAATAGTTTCAATAAAATGAGCCGTTGGTTTATAGGACTAAAAGGACCTTATTGCTTCCTAGGAGAAATATAAAATTGACTGCTTGTGACTCAGGGTGTTTATAACTGTTCCTGTTGTACAAAGTCTGATTTTATAGGAGTACAGTTTAAAATGTAGGATTTAATTACTTCTGCTTTCCATTTTTTAAAAGCAGACTAAAATTGCGGTACGTATACACAATTATAAAACCTAACTTTCCATAACATTTTAAATGAGAAGTAAAAATTATATGTGTTGGCTACAAGCAGTTAAATCCACTTCTAGAAATTTGGCTTAAGACGTCTGGACAGTTTCTTTTTTTGTGTGTGTTGAGACGTTTCGCCCTCCATCCAAAGGACTTCATCAGTCTGAGGAGTCCTAAACACAAGTGTTTTCTCCACTAAGCAGTACACCTACAGCATCACCAGTACACTGGTTGGTACACCGTGGGATAGTGCTTCTTAGTGGGGAAAACAGTTTGTTTGGGACTCCTCAGACTGATGAAGTCCTTCGGATGGCCAGTGAAACATCTCTCAACAACGACAAAAAAATGTCCAGATGACCTGACCGAACATTGTTAGATGTTTTACCTGGATTACTGAGCATGAACCTTGATGTCTTTAGACGCCGCTTATATCTTACTGATTTGTGTTCTCTGAGCTTAGCCTTAAAAAAACTATTTAGCTAATAACAAAAAGTACCTCCAACCATTTTATAAGAAATGAACATGTGTAACTTTTAAATGTGCTCATTGCAAAGCCACAAAGACCAATCAAGCAAACATTCATCAAGTAATAAACAAAATCAACACATTATTTTCCTTATAATGATGAAAATGATTCGAGGCTGAATGTGAACTACTTCATGCGTTTGTTTACCTCCAGAAACAGCTAAAGTGTCCATGAATGACCTGTTTGTGATTGAGGGGTCCAACCAGTGGTGTAGTCTACATTTCTGAAGTGGGTATACTTCGGTAAAGTTACTTTTACGTTGGACACCGTTGAAGCCACAGAGCGCAAACGTAAAACAAACTTTACCACGGTGGGTCCATATACTGTGCTTAGAAACCAAAGTTCACCGGTCAGTACAATGTAATCATCAATTTATTTTGACTTTTAAGCAAATTGAACATTTCCAAATTTCTCTGATGCTTATTTGAATAAAGGAACAGCAAACGTTGTACAGCAGTTGGCTTTGTATTAAAAACATGTTATAGAATTTATAAAACGGTATCAAAGCCAATAATGTTCAAGTATTAAGTAGTAAGTACTGAAGTATTAATTATACAATAATTCACTGGATAAGCGAATGCAATAAACGCTGCATACCGATAGATATGGAAGCATTGAACTGCTGTTTAAAAGATCAATGACATGTACTTTGTATCATTGGGCACTTTTAATTGGGTATAATGAAATTCTTAAGCTTTTACAGTGGTTATACTCCGTATACCTGCGTATCACATTGACTATGTCCAACAATTTTCATGTACTGGCACCAATTTATGCTCAGGTTTGAAAGTATACAGAATAAAAGACACGATAAACTTACCAGTTCAGAAGAAGTGTTGCAAAAGCTGTGTTTGAACTCAGAGCTCTGTCTTCATGACCTTGCTCGATCCTTTATATTTATTTTTGACAATTGTGTGACTCGTTCTTTCCTCTTTCTTCGGCCTTTCATCAGCAGATCCACTCTTTATATTTTCATCTAAAAGTGACTCAAGTGTTTTGACAGATTCAGCTGATTGCTTTGTAAGTTACTCATTTTAAAATAATAAATCTTTAAAACTATGGGAGCACACTCTTTCAAACTCTTTCAAAGAAAATGTTTTTAAATGTTTAATGTCATACTTTGCAATGAGTCGTTTTAATATGAAGCTGAATACTGTGTTATAATCAGTATACTTTTTTTTTTAACCTTCTCAAATTAATCTAAATGAACACAGTTTTAAAAACTGCTCAGATATTTTTTTAAATGAAGTAACTTATTTATTTATTCAAACATTTTAGTAAAAAACTATATGGCACCACCAACAGTGTTTTGTCAGATCTGTTCAGCTGCAGATTCATTTCAGTAAAAACATCCTGAATTCATAAAGGGGGGGGGGGGGGGGGGGAAAAGCACAAGTTTGTGAAAACGCTGTGACCTGCACAGCCAAAAATACCAAAGAAAAATAAATAAATTGGCTTCTCTGAATTGCACCATGCAGTCACATGCATTTTTTTTTTCCAGACTAAAAGGGGCTGATTGGGTCGATAACCCACAAAGCGAGACGTCACAGATCTCATCTCCCAGGGCAAGGCTAATGGCCTGGGCTCACGTGCACAGACAACCTGATAGTGCTCGTGTGCAACAGCAGCTGGCACAGATCGCCCTGAAAAACGGAAGTCGTTAAGAATGATAGGAAGAGCTGAATCAACAGAAAGGGGCACCTTTCTCACAGAGCTTCACCAAGTCACAATGTGCGACGACCAACAGCTGTCAGGGACGCGATTTTCTGAGGAAATGGTGCAAAGAAAAGAGTGAAGGACGTTCTGTTTCTGTGCATTAACACAAAAATGTAAATGTGAGATTATAAAGGATGTTAAAAATGTCTTCATTAGAGACCATTCTTTTGATTTCTAATAGGTGAAAAAGGATTTGTGTAAAGCGTGTTCTGTTTTATTTGAGGTGACTGAACCTAAAACAAGCAAACACCCAAATTCACAACATGACTTGATAAATTCTGATGACTTGGGTCCTCGTGTCTTCAATCGTGTTCAACTGTGTGACACCAGATTTAACGACTAACCCCATCGACCTGGACATGAAATGATATTGCTTTTTTCCATTTCTGAAGCATCACAGAGGGTTTGCTTTAGAAAACTGATTGATGTCTGAGTTTCTTTTGTCGGGGCTACTTTATGTGGTCAAAACTACAAAGACTAATCATTAGTGGAGCAGCATGGATGAGAGGCTTTTGTTAAAAGCATTCAAAGGCAAATGGGAGGAAAAAAAAGAGAGTAGGAAAGGTCCAAGGTTCCAGGTGTAATACGGTGAAATTAATAATAATAAATAGGACCTCATTCTCTTTAGCTACTCTTTGTTAATTGGCTTTCATTTGAGGGTGAAAAGGGGAGGATAATAACTAAAATTATAGCCAGTATGGTGGAAGATGTGGGTATGGCATTTGTAAGATAACTTGGCACAGCACAGAGTCCAAAAATAAATTTCTCCTAACAACACAATATTGTATCAAATTATATCCTAACAAACTGTATTGAATCACATCACAACATGTGACATCATATCATATTATATTATATCATATTGTATCATATCTTATATTCTATTGTATCATATCATATCTTATATCATAATATATGGCATATCATATAATATATCGTATCGTATCATATAATATGTCATATCATCATATTATATATCATATATTGTATCATCATTTCATATCCATCCATCCATCCATTATCTTTACCCATTTATTCCATTTTGGGTCACGGGGGTCGCCGGTGCCCATGTCCAGTGATCACTGTACGAGGGGCGGGGTACACCCTGGACAGGTCTCCAGTCCATCACAGGGACACATAGAGACAAACGAGACAAACAACCATTCACTCTCTCACTCACACCTAGGGACAATTTAGAGTTACCAATCAGTCTAACATGCATGTTTTTGGTCTGTGGGAGGAAACCAGAGCACCCGGAGAAAACCCACGCATGCACGGAGAGAACATGCAAACTCCACCCAGAAAGGCTCCTGGGCCGGGATTTGTGCCAGGGACCTGCTCGCTGAGAGGCAGCAGCTCTACCAGTTGTGCCACCGTGCTGCCCTATATATCATATATATCATATCATATAATTTCTTGTATAGTATCATATAATTATATCATCATTTATCATATTATATCTTATTTGTTGTATCATATCATATCACATCATACATCATGTTTTATTGTATTGTATCATATCATTTTATCAGTTATCGTATAGTATCTTATCATATGTTGTATATTACCATATAATATACCATATATCATGTCATATATAATATATTGTATTGTAAGACAGGTTAAGCTGGCAAAAGCACAACAATATCATATCAATCATATCAAAAGTTCACAAATCTAAAAATAAATTAAAAAACAAAAAAAAAGCACAATCTTTGTCTTTTATACTATCACACATTATAATGTAATTTCTTCAAACTAAAGAACAAACTCATTATGTTGCTATGAACTGCCAGTGATTCATGCAGGCTCTACAGAGATAATGGTCTCTTCTGTCAGAGACCTGAGTGTCTTTAATTAGGAGACCCGTGGACCAAAAATATCCCCCTTCTAAATGATCAGAGAAGCAGCTCATACAAATGTTGAAACAGCTTTGGCAATTCAACGTTGTTTCTGACTGTGAGGTCTTCAATTTGCCAGTGAAAGTCTGGTCTGAATGATAAGTGGGTAGGTGTAGTCATGTTTCTAACAGTGGATCGCTACAGAAACAGTCTACTAAGGTTTCCTAATACGGCAGCAGAGATGTTCAGTTGTCCAGAGCCAAACGATCACAAAGTACACCCTCTCAACCCAGGCAGGAGGAGGCTCTGCTGTTCAGCGTGCTGCCATTGATTTAGCTGTCTCAGGTTATTCACTTCTCTTTTAGGAGAAAGAAAAATGCTGA